TTATATATTAAAAAAGACTTAAAGTAAATCAGAAACAATTTATCGATATATTAAATCAAAATGCACTTAAAGTAAATTGAAAACAATATTTTCATCATACATTAAATCAATATAAGATTCAGAAATAATTTATCGATGCATTAGATTAAAATGCATTTAAAGTAAATCAGAAATAATATTTTCATTATGCATTAATCAATATAAGATTCAGAAACAATTTTGATGCATTAGATTAAAATGTACTTAAAGTAAATCAGAAATAATACTTTTATTATATATTAAATCAATACAAGATTTAGAAATAATTTATTGATGCATTAAATCAAAACACATTTAAAGTAAATCAGAAATAAATAATTTATCAATACATTAGATTAAAACAACTTAACAAAAATAGTTATAAATATTACAATTATTTTAAAAAGAAAATTTGTTTAATTGTTTATATTTACTAAAAAAAGAAAACAATAGTTTAGTATAATAATATAAATATTTGTAAAACTACTGCATTTTTTTAAAAAAATATAAAATTCAACTAAAATCATCCTTAAAAATAACTCCATTTCAAACTTTATTTTCCTCTTAATTTCTCAATTATAAAATAAAAATGAGCTGAAAAAGGTCGATTTCTAAATTATACAGTGATAATGATGATTCATTATCTAGTCAATCTTCTAATACATCTTCTCGTAAAAGAAATAGATTGATTCCTAAATTAATTGATGAAGAAGATATTTCTACTTTTTAATCTTTAAATACACCTTCTTGTAGAAGAACAAGTAGATCAATTGGTGATTTAACTGATGAAAAAAATATATCTACTTCTAGGCTATTAACCTCTCGTAATACTAGAATTAGATATCAAGATTCACAAAGTTCTATTTCAGATATATTTTATTAATTCAGAATACAAGACGAAATGGGAGAACCATCAACATCGATTTTGACTGGACGAATTATAGAAATCATCGAACATAAATCTGATAATGAACATCAAGAAGATTTTGATTCTACTTTTTTACCTAAGAAACGTGTAAGAAAATACACAAATTATCTAAAATCTGACATAAATCCTTCTGATAATCTTAAAACAGAAGCCAACTAACATTCAGAATCTTTAGAATTTACTACTAAAGAAGATTATATTACAGGTGAATCTGAAGATAATAATATTTCTGTAGAGAATGATTTTGAAATTTTTGAAGATTATGCATCACCGGATTATGAGCCATTCAAAATCCACTAAATACAGAATCAATTGATAATTGATTTTTGTGAATTTTACTTTAGATCATGTCATTTTGAACAAGATTCAATATTATAAAGTCTGCAACTGAGACATTAATAAAATTTATGAAATTGGTTCTGACAGAAATCAGAGGTGACAAATTTAGAAATTTTCAAATTCAATATACTTAACGAAAAAAGCACTTAGATTAAATGACTGATTTTACCATTTTGTTTCTTATTCCAATTGTCATAAGCTGTATCAAAAGCAGGAAATGGTGAATTTTCAACAGAATAATATCCCAACTGTAATAAAATGTCAGCATATAGAATTTCTCAATTTGTCAATTCGCAAAACATGATTTTGCAATACTCCATTATCTTAAAAAATCATATCAACAAATTGAACTTTAATTTGTTCTAATTTAATCTTTCCATTTTCTGGAATTCGACAATAACTTAATTCTATGTATCATCAGCTTAATTTTGAAATTAGCCTGAGACAATAGACAAATCATTAGTGTTTTGACAATATTATGACTGATATATATAATGGTGAAGTTTGGTAAATGTTAAAAAAATCTTCACAAGAAGATTCGGCAAATTTTTTTTGAAATGAAGTAGCTGATTCTCATCTTGGATTAATGCTAAATCTCAACTGGTTCTAATCATATGATGATACTGTTTATAGCATTAGAGTAATAAATGCCGCTATATGCAATTTGCCTCGTAATAACTGATTTAAACATGAAAATTTACTGACTCTTAGTCTTTTATCCAAACTAAGTGAAGTCAGTTTACATAAAATAAATTACTATTTAATGCTGATTATAGATGAATTAGAATCACTTTGAGATGGATTTATAATAGATAAAACATATAAATATCCTGAAGAAAAGAATATTCGTGCAGCTTTAATTCTTATTTTATATGATGTACTGACTGCTAGAAAAATATGTGGACATATTTTGGCCTTAGTATCATATTATAGATGCGAAAAGAAGGCAAATTATAAATCATCAGCATAATTTTGTCAAGAATGAATAATATCGATGATTGGTTCATTATGTGAGATCTAATTGAGCATTGTCAAAATGAATTAGAATAGAGACGCTGTAATTTAGATGCTTCACAAAAATAATTTGTAAAGCAAAGTAGTATAAGATGGTTTAAATTATTATGTTTACCATATTTTAACCCTATAAAATATATCATAATTAATCCAATGCATTGCCTATTTTTAGGCATTACACAATGGATAGTAAAATGAATCTGAATTGATAAAGGGATTTGACATCAAATACCTTGAATAATATTCAGAAAAAGATGAAAAAGTTTCAGATTCCTTCTAATCTGGGTCAAATTCTGGATAAAATTCATAAAGAAGAAGGATTTTCTAATTTACGGCTGATCAGTGACAAATATTTTTCACTGTATATGCTACTATTTTGCTTTAGAAACATCTTCTAATTATAGGTAAAAAGATTCTTACACATTTCGTAAGGATTTATACAATTTTAGTAAACCAGATTGTAAAATCAGATCTATTATATAAAGCACATTGAAGACTAATTGAGATAGTGAAGTTGATTGAAAATAATCACAGATGCAATAAAATCATGCCAAATCTTCACCTTTTTCTCCATTTGTATGATTGCTCAAGAGACTATAATCCATTATATGCATTTTGGTATTTTTCTTTTGAATGCATGAATAGAATATTAGGTATTTTTTTTGAGAATTTCTTGAATAAATCTGCTTACTAATTTATGAACAATTTTTAGGTTTTTTTACTGAATAGTAATAGAAAAATTGAACCTGAGTTAATGCGTTAATTGATATTTAATATTCAAATCAACAGTATTACAAGTTCTGGTGGTATTAAGGTAAAAGGGCTTGAATTGCTAGACAATCAGCCTTCGATTAGTTCTCTTTCAGATACAGACGAATTTTCTTCTGACGATATCCATCAATTTTGGATAAATTCACAAAATATTAAGGAATCAAATGTTACTGGTAGTGAATCATTTCCTGACAAATTCCTTAAACTATCATCTGATAATATAATTATTTCAAGCGAAATGCTTGATTTAATGGTTAAATATTACAATGCGACTTATATCATGTTTGATTTTAAGAAACCATTTGATAAGGATTTAGAAGATGGTATAATGATTCAAGTCAAAATGAATCAATTCAGAAGGTATTGAATTGGTTCTAAAATCTTCAGATCGTCAATGTCTTTGTGACATATAAAAAATTCATACATTTTGATCAAATTTATTACAAATGATGATACAGTCAATTGTTATTCTGGTCAAGTCCAATATTATTTTACACATAAGGTCAATTACCATTCAGAAAGGCTAAACATTTTCTAGCATTTGTTCATTGGTATAAACTTGCAAGTTCTTCAAATATGCAATATTATTTTAGTAAAGAAGGAACTTATAATGTTAAATTATGAAATATTAAATTTTATTCAGAAAGTCGTGATTGTATAATACCAGTTCATCATATTTTGGGTCGATTTGTACTGATTAACTATTGAATTTCAGCCTGATGAAATGCAAAAAAATATTTAGCTGTTAATTTAATTAATAGAAAATACTATTTGTAAAAATAAATTAGATGTTTTTAGTATTATTTGGCTGTTAATCCTAAATATCAGTTATATTTCCTTTCGAATTTTATTTTATTTTGAAATATTTTAGTTTATTTTTGATGTATATCAATTAGATGTAAATTGAATGTCAGGTTGAATTTTAGCTAATTTTTAACGTATACCAATCAGCAATAAGTATGCCAATCAGTTATAAATAAGATAAGTCAAATTTTAACTGATTTTTGACATATATCAATCAGCAATAAGTATGCCAATTGGTTATAAATAAGATAGGTTGAATTTTAGCTGATTTTTAATGTATATCAATCAGATGTAAATCGGATGTCAATCAGCTATAAATAAGATAGGTTGAATGTTAGCCAATTTGTGATATATATTAATCAGATGTAAATCAGACGTTAATCGACTATAAATAAGATGGGTCGAATTTTAGCCGATTTTTGATATATATCAATCAGATGTAAATTAGATGTCAATCAGCTATAAATAAGATGGGTCAAATTTTAGTCAATTTTAATGTATGCTAATCAGCAATAAGTATGCCAATCGGCTATAAATAAGATAGGTCGATTTCTAGTGTATGCTAATTGGCTAGGCTGATTTTTTGATAATTTACTGAATTTAGGCCGAATTTAGGCCAATTTTTTGCATGTCTGATTTTTTTGATTTTGACTGGTGCATGTTTTTATACTTATACTTTCATTTTTTAGAACTAAAAAAATAAAAGACTTTTTGCTGTTCAGTTCAGCAATCTGTTTTTATCAGTGAAATACATTTGAACGGTATTAGTAGTAGCAAAATTAAAAACCTTTTATCAGATATTTTCCAAATAGTAAATTGTCATATACTAAAGTATAAGAGTAAAACTTACAGGTATATATATTTTAAGATTGAGAATAATGCTAGATTATTTTTAACATATTCAAGAACAAACCTTTGAATTTGAATATAATGATGATCCTGACGAAATTTAAACAATTTTAATTGAATTTTTTTGTCAAAAGAATATAGTAGAAATAATCATACTATTTATAAGATTCAGATAACACAGTTAAATTTTCATTAGTGTAATTTAAATTTTCATTTACTGTATGTTTATACTATATTTTTTATCTTGTTCTAAAATAATGAACTACGAACTGACATCTCAACCAAAAGCACCACCAGTATTACAACTACCAGTACCACAACTGCCAGCATCAGAAACATCAAAGTACTACCAATATTAAGAATATCAAAAATACCACTAACACTGGAAATAATGATAACAACATCACCAAACTGGGCATTAGGAATAGCAACTCTGATAGCATTCCAACAGATATCTCATCAACTGGCATCTTAATTGGCATCTCAATCAATGATGATTTAAGATTTAAAGACATTAATTACCTTTTAAAAGATTTTTTTTAATATTAGAGAAAACAAAATATTAAAATTTAAAAACATTCCTGATTATTATTTTCTCCAACTCAACAAGGAAAGGCTTACAAAAAAGCTATTTAAACTGGATTATGTTTTAGCAAAAAATATTGCTGAATTAATCAAAGGATTAAATCACATTCTTTTGGCTGAGAAAAAGCTTAGTATAATTAATATGCCTTTTGAATCAGTTGTAAAATTTGCCAATAAAGTGGAACAAGAGAAAATATGTAATTAAGAGAATATTAAAAAAATTGGCACATAAACATGATTTGCTTTTTTTTTGATGCATTGCAAACTTTATTTAATATTTCAGTAAAAAAAGTAAAGTGGGCAAAAAATATTGAGACATCTAATTTTATTACACATTAGTTATAATTATTTTGATCAATTTATAATAAAAAATGGCATACTGTACTGTACATATTTTAGCTTTTAAGAAGTCAATTTTTATTTTTTTTTTCTTTTTTCTTTTTACGTAAACATACTATACATCAATGTTCTTATTACCTCTCTTTTTTATGATTGTAACTAAAATGAAATTAGAAAATTTGTAACATTATATCCAAAGTTTTTATTTATTTAAATTTATATACTTTTACATAGTTTTTCCTTTTTTCATTTATGTAATAATTTCTATATTCTCACATTCCTTTTGTAAAACATTAAACAAAATGTTATAGATATGCAAATTCTGTTAGTCAATTATCTCTTCACATTATAAGGTAATACTATTAATATATAACTTTTATTCAAAGTTATTATTTTACATGGTATTTTCTCTTTGCTAACATATGATGTTTTTTTTGATTCTTTTTGTATGATATTAAACTATATCTTTGATATGCAAAGTCCTACTGGCTCATCTTTTTTTTTGCATTACAAAAGGTTGGAAATATATTATTAATATAAATAATTCATCAATAACTATTTGACTTTTTTCTGATTTAGTATTTTTATGTCTAAAACATGGTTAAAGGTGATCAATTTTTTTTAAAAAATATTTTTCACTATAATTCTCTTCAACTAAATTTATCTTTTTTTACTTTAAAATAATATCAATAAATAAAATTTTTTATGTAGATGAATTTATAATAAAGTTGAAGATTGTGAGTATTCATTATATTATTCTTTTTTTTTTAGTTCTGTTTGTTTTATTTATTAAAGTTTTATTATTTTCCTTTATTTTCATTTCAAGTTTTATTATTCTTATATATATATTGGGATTTTTGAAAATTATAACCTAGATTTCTGATTAATACTTGGTAGCCCACTCAAGAAGAATATATTCATTTATATTTAATTAGTTATCCTTATTTTAACAGTACTTTTCACTATAGATAAGTGTATTTGGAATTAAAATTTAGATTGTTAGAGTTCTTTTTAATAGGTATAATGATAAAAGATTTTCTTAGATTAATATCTTAGAAATTTTTTAAAGTATTTTTTTTTCCCTTTTAATTAAATTTAATAGATTTTTTTCATACTTTTTTTTTGTTATGTTAAATGATTACAACCCATTTTATGAAAATTCACAATTCAAAGAAATTTCTCTTATACATAAACTTGCAAGGATTTAGAAGGTAGTAAATTATCTAAAGGATTTAAAATTGCTATATAACATTGTTAATATGTTAATTATCTTGGCAAATAGATTGAAACCATCAGATAAAATCAATCAAACTAACATATAATAAATGTATATTTGCATAGTTTCAAATTAATGAATATATTAATTGATATTAACACTTATTTTAAAGTAAGAATCTATCTTAATATTTAATATAACATAAGTCCTTTGTATATTCGAAATCAGAGAAATATAATGGAAGTTCATCATATGAAAAAAATGGAATCTCTTACAAGCTAAGCTCACATTGATTTCATACTAATTTTCTGTTACCTATCTTCTTGCTAACTTTTACATTCATATAATAAGTAGCTTCCTATTATTATTATTATTAACTAAGTCAAAAGATTTACATACTTATATTGTACTGAAACTTTCTTTTTTTATATAATATTGTCATATAAAACTTTAATGTTTCAATATTACTCCTAAATTCTCAATTATTTGGTTTTTTTTAAGTAGATGATCTTGAACAGAAAGAGGTATAAGGTTATTATTAATATGATGATAAATAATTTTACTTAAATAGTTGAATTAGAAAAAAATAAATAAGTGATTGAATAAAAAATTTTTTTAAATATAATTGATCAGTATTCATATCTAACATTTAGCATGATAGTAATAAAAATCAAAAAAAAAATTAATTTTTAGAGAGATTAATTTAATCAAAAATCAAACTGGTTTAAATTTAGTTTTCAAAAAAACCTCCAATTATTTTGCAATAAAAACAGAGAAGTGAAATAAATATCCTAGCATATTTGGTAAACTATTATTATTAATTTGCTTTTTGTTTTCTATTAACAATTATTGAAATAATAAATATAATAAATTAATAACGAAAAAAATTCTTATGTAAAATGCAACTGAAAATATTGCCTAAAAATAATTATAAAGTTTACATTTATCAAGTAGCTAAAAATAAAATACTACACTTAAACAATTTGATGATATAGTATAAGAAATAAATTTTCTACAGAAATAGCTGAATAGCTAGCGATTATTTTTACAAGAAATGTCACATATTACAATACTATTATATTTTATTATTATTATACAATATACATTCTTAACAAAGTCACTCATAATCATTTGTACTTACAGAGGGTGATCACGGATACCCGAATGATTAATTAAACTATTTGAATATACTTATTATATTAACTTTTTTTTAGAATAAGCAAAAAATTTATTTGTTCTGAATATTTCCTATATATTTTATTAAAAAAAAAATAATAAACTAATACTTTGTTGAACTACCTTCGGCTGCTATACATGCTTAAATGCGACGGGGCATACTTTCAACTAAATTTTGAATATATTCAAGTGAAATTGAACGCCAAGCATATTTTACCTTACGTTCTAAATCTTTCACATTTTTAGGTTGATTAGGCAAGTTACAAAGTTTCTTATCAACTTCATTCCAAAGATTTTCAATAGGATTTAAATCAGAGCTTTGTGCAGGCTAGAGTAGCACAGAAATCTTAAAAGCGTTACAAATATTAGCAGCAATCTTTGCTCAATGAGGTGGGGTATTATTCTTTTGAAAAATTCCTTGTTTGCGAGGAACTAATTTGTAAATTGAAGGAATAGCATGCTTCTGTAACACTTTTGCATATCTTTATCCTATTACAGATTCGTGAAGAGGAACAAGAGGTCCCAGCCCATACCATGAAAAGCATCCTCAAAACATTCGACTGGGACTGTACTTTACTGTAGCAGTTAAACAAGAAAGGTCAAATTCTTCTTCTGGTGTACACTACACACGTAAGCTACGACCTTGTGAAAATTGGCTAAATGTTGATTCATCAGACTATACAACTTTCTTCTATTTTGCAATTGTCCAATCTTCTCATTTCAATGCCCAAGCCAATCTTTTTTCTTTATTATTTTCAGAAATTAATGGTTTAGAGCGGGTAACACACGAACGTAAGCTGACTTTTTTAAGAGTCTGACGAATTGTAACAGTTGAAACTTTCTTTTTTTTTCCATAATTCTTGAATTTTTTGAGTGGTAAGGTGACGATGCTTCGAATTTTGTGTAACAATCTTTTTGAGTGAAGATTGTGTATTTGAATTAAAAAGTAGTTTCAGGTCATAACGTTTTTTTGGTATTGCAGAACCAGTTTCTTTAAAACGTTTTATCGCATCATGGACAGTTGTTTTATCACATTGTATAATGTCAGCAATTTTTTGATATGAATCACCTTGTTTGTGGCCGTAAAGAATTGCCTCTTATTGTTCAGCATTCAATTCTTTTATTTTAACCATTTTGTTCGAAAGAAAATTATTTGTTATTATTGTGATCGACATCCATTTATATTCTAAATAAATACTTAAATTAGAAATATATGTAAACATGTAAACAAAGCGAATAAACAAAAAAATACTTATCATTCAGGTATCCGTAATCACCCTCTATATTAGACAACTAAAGATACAATTAGCAGAAACTGTTTTACAATACATAAAACTTTTTATTTTAAATATCAAATTTTAAGAAAGATGATAATAAAGAATATTGTAATGTGATAAAATTGCTATACCAAAAAACATATCTCATAATTTATCTTTATAATGTAATGTTAATAATTTTTAAAGAAAAATATAAAACAACAAAAAAATTATTTTGTATTTAAATTAAAACAAAATTTTTCTGATTCAAATTATCAACTATTAGTTATTAATAAATTTTAAAGCACTATGTATCATATACTTTTCATATATATACTGCAGTAAGATCTACATACCTTATGTTATCATAATATAAGATAATTTAATTGAAATAATAATGTCTAATAAGGTAAGAGTGTAAAAATAAATTAAAAATATTTTTACCAAAAAAAAATAGAAATAAAAAATATGAAGCTTTATATGACTAAAATTAATTAATTTAATGATTTAATAATATTCTAAAATAGAATTAACCATGAGTAATAAAGGTTAATATAATAATAACCATAATACTGTAATTTGCCATTTATGTTTTTTATTTATTATAAATTTTAATAACTTAAAACATAGTACTAGTATCAAGTGATAAAGGTAAATACAATAGCAAATATATTTAATCAACATTTATAATAATTTTATTAATTAACTCAAAAATTGTTATATTTATAAATTATCTACATTGTCACTAGGTTCATTTTTATTTATCTTAATATCTAAGTTGAAAGGCTATGATAGTTGATTTTACACATTGAAGTTTCTGACCTTAGAATTTTCTCTAAGTCTTACAGGTATCTATTATACTTAAATCAACTTGAAAATTTATCAGGTTTTAGAATTTAAGATATATTAATTAAACTTATAATGATGAATTTAATAGCAAGTT